CTCTTTCCCAGCTTTTTCTGTCCACCCTATTCACCACCAACCTTAGATCCAAAAGCCTCTCAGTTGCCTTTGGAAATTAAACTTATGCTCAAGGGCCAAGCTGTGTGTCCACGGAGCAGAACGTGATGAATGTGTACAAGCATCCAGGCAGATCCCCAAACACATTTCTGAAATGTTTTGAGCGACGGCATAAATGTCTGTCTTCCCAAAAGAGCTCTCAGAAGAGGAACACGCTCACTGGATCTGTGCCTTAGAGAAAGCATCTTTGTGATGACAGTGCGTGCACACCTTACGGAGTCCCTGGCAGGCATCCCAAAGCCCGTGTACGCACTGCATCTCCTTGCAGCTCTGTGTTGGCCCTGAGAGCCAGGTGGACCCCGGGAAATGGCAACAGTGAGGCAGATGAAGAGAAAGTTAAACTCCCTTCCAGCTGGGCAGCCCCTTTTGATGTCAGCAACTGAGGGGCACTTTGTGTCCATGCCGTGAATTCTAATGTCTAAGGGATATTCCAGGTGGGCTGTTGGAAGCAGCTGTGTGGGAGCAAGAATGTCAGTATCAGAAGAGAGCCAGGATTGCACTTCATCATGAGGGCAGGTGCTGCTCTGATCTCTGTGAGAGGCCACCAGTCACAGGGAGGGCTGCAGCCCAGTCATCTGCCCCTCCCCAGAGGCCTGCGCCTCCGCCGTGGTCTTCCCTTATCTCCCTCTACCCCCGAGCTCTACTGGCAGGGGCCCCTGATGCTGGCTTAGGTGGCCCCTGTCAGATTCAACGCATGTCCTCCACCTCTCCAGACACCAGGGAGATTCAGGTACAAACATGTAGGTGCTGTTGGGGATTTGCACAAGAACAAAATATGAGTCATTGATTCATTTGGTCACATATTTACTTAAAAAAAATATTTAAGGGACTTCTCTGGTGGCTCAGTGGTTAAGAATCCACCTGCCAATGCAGGGAACACAGGTTCAAGCCCTGGTCCGGGAAGATCCCACATGCTGCGGAGCAACTAAGCCCACGAGCCATGACTACTGAAGCCCTTGCGCCTAGAGCCCGTGCTCCGCAACGAGAGAAGCCACTGCAATGAGAAGCCCGCGCACCGCAATGAAGAGTAGCCCCCGCTCGCCACAACTAGAGGAAGCCTGTGCACAGCAATGAAGACCCAATGCAGCCAAAAATAAATAAATAAATGAATAATTTTTTTAAAATACGACGGAAAAAAAATAAATTTTCAAGTCTTTTTCATTAAAGTATAGTTGATTTACAATATTTGTGTACAGCAAAGTGATTCAGTTATGTATATATATATTCTTTCTCATATTCTTTTCTATTATGGTTTATTACAAGATATCGAATATCTTGTCCTACCTGTGCTATATGGTAGGACCTTATTGTTTATCTATTTGATATACAGTAGTTTGTATCTGCTAACCCCAAACTCCTAATTTATCCCTCCCCCCTTCCCCCTTTGGTGACCATAAGTTTGTTTTCTGTGTCTGTGAGTCTGTTTCTGTTTTGTAAACAAGTTCATTTGTATGATATTTTAGATTCCATATATAAGTGATATATATCATAGGATATTTGTCTTTCTCTGCACATATTTATTTTTATTCATCAAACGGTCATTGAGCCCCTACTCTGTGTCAGCCACCTGCTGGGGGTGCCAGGATGGGGAATCCACATCCCTGTCCTGCAGGAAGAGATTGCAGAGACAGTCTTGTTCAAGTGGCCCAAGAAGGTGCTGGGGGCTCTGAGGAGGGAGCATACGGGACACCAAAATGGGTCAGAGATTGGATTTTGGGAAGCAGCTTGTGCACAGAGCAGTATAAACAAGGTCTTTAGGAAACACAAAGAAAAAGAGGTGACCTGCGGCTGGAGGATGAGAGGCATCAGGGAAGGCTTCGTGGAGGCGGGGAAAGGGGGCGGTGCTGCAGCAAGGACTCTACAAGCTGAGGGGATGGATGAGTGAAAGCGTGTGCCGGAAAAGACCAGGGCATGGTGTGTGCAGATCCGAGTTCGACTGGAGATCAGACTCATGGTGGGAGGACAGTGGGAAGCAGGCTGGGGAAGTGGGGTGGAGGCATATTTTGAAGGGTCCTGATGCCCTGTTAGTTTTTATCTTGTTCTTAAGTGATGTAGGAAGTTGAAGATTTCTGAGCAGAGGAAAGAGGTGATCACAGGTGTTGACAGGAAGAAGGCTGGAGTGAGCGGAGAAAATCTGTTATTTTATCCACTCTTTGGAAGTTGCCTTTGAATGAGGTACTGCCCCCGTCGAGTCTCCTTCAGTGAGAAGCCACAGTCCCGTGCCTGCTGTACCGATTCTTATCTCCTCCGGCTAGCGGCTCTGGTCCCACCTGGGGGCCCACTGCCATCGGGGGGAGGGCGTTTGTCAGTGAGAGCAGAGGCAGGAGCAGGGCTGGCTTCTGGGTCAGAAAAGCTCTTCAAAAAGTAACTGCGTGTGAGAGACGGGGAGAGAGAGAATATATGAGGCTGGTCGGGGAAAGGAATTCATTTGGGACCAGATCATGAACCTCTCTGTTGAGAGAGATGAGGGCAGATAGAGCAAAGGGTTTTCTAGGATAACCTGGTGATGGAGCCGTACTGAGCAGATGATGGGTCCTCAGAGGTGGGTTCCTGTGTCACAGTTTACTGACTACTTGCTCAGGCAGCCCACGTCTGAGAGAACCGTGGTGTGTTCACCCTGGACTATGTGTGCAGCTTGGGCCGCAGCTGTGGAAAGAACACAGAGAGTTAGACGAGGTCCTCAGAGGGTCTCTGAATGGTTGAAGGGGCTTTTATGTGAAGATATAGTGAAGAGATTCAGATTTTGTTTTTGTGGACAAGGTGAAGGCTGAGACACACAGGCTAGATTTTGGAGCCATTTGATTGGGATAGGAATGGGAGAAACTTGTCTCCAAACCCTAAACTCCTAGAGGTAGGGCTCTGGAGTGAAACTGGGGAGAGACAGCTGTCGGGCCAGTAAGATGAAATATTCCTTCACACGATGAGCGACACACGTAAGGACATTGAGATCTCAGAGATTGTTGGAGAAGGAGCCTATAAATGAGATGTGAGACAAATTTACATCAATTCCAGGATGATAGATCCACCACAGGATGCTAAGGTCAGTAAAGGGTGTCTGGGGCTGTGCTTAATCTTTTGAAGTCGACACCACAGGGGATAATGATGCCTTCCGTGGAGGTACTGCTCAGGGGCACGGGTCTGGGGGGTCCCGACTTGTACAGAAAGCAGTTTTCTGTTTTCCTCTGCCCTTACTTGGATCTCCAAAGTGATCAACACTGAGCCCTAACATTTTTAACCTCTCTTGATTTTTATTTCTTCTGACTAAAAGTATGATCTTTTCATGCTAATCAATATCTCAGGAGTGTTATAAGCTGTCATGGTGAGCTCTGAAACATAAAAGGGCAGTCCTCCAACAGACACGAAGAGACAACTCTCCGTTATCCAAGGTCAAGCGGAGCAAGGAACACACACACACACACACACATACACACACACACACACATGCATCCTTAGCTGGCCAAATAGCTTCAGTGTTTCCTCCAACCAAATGTTTTCTTAAGGTTGTTATTAAGGAATCAAAGAGGATGATTTTTTTTAACATCTTTATTGGGGTATAATTGCTTTACAATGGTGTGTTAGTTTCTACTTTATAACAAAGTGAATCAGTTATACATATACAGATGTTCCCATGTCTCTTCCCTCTTGCGTCTCCCTCCCTCCCACCCTCCCTATCCCACCCCTCTAGGTGGTCACAAAGCACCGAGCCGATCTCCCTGTGCCATGCGGCTGCTTCCCACTAGCTATCTACCTTACGTTTGGTAGTGTATATATGTCCATGCCCCTCTCTCGCTTTGTCACAGCTCACCCTGCCCCCTCCCCATATCAAAGAGGATGATTTTTGCTTCTTCCTTTCTTTCTTTGCACTTTCTACTCCACTGATCGAGAGCTTAGGACATGTGGAATGGTCAGCATGTGGCAGGTGGGGCAAGGGAGAAGCTCAGAGCTTCCAAGGAGGCAGCAGGACCTTCAGACACTGGAGGCAAAGAGTCCCAGACTATCTGACCCAGAAGGGAGTCGTGTGACTCTGGATTGAATGGGCCAGTGAGGGTCAGAGAAAGCAGGGACCCTGCAGGCCTGGCCTGACTAGTGCGTGTGCCCCATGATGCGGTGCAGGTGACTGCTGGTTTCTGGCGGCCATTGCCTCCCTCGCCTTGAATGAAGAGCTGCTTTACTGCGTGGTCCCCAGGGACCAGAACTTCCAGGAGAACTACGGGGGACTCTTTCATTTTCAGGTATCCTGGCTTGCTCACAGCCCTTGACACTACTTTCCATAATCTTGGGACCCATGCCGAGAATCAGAAATCTGGGTTTGGGGCCCAGTAGCCTAGGTTTTAATAATCCCTCCAGGGGATTCTGATGCGTGCTTGAGTTTGAGAAACTTTGCTTTAACATGTCCATCCAAGCATCCACACGTCCATCCCCTCCTGTCTCCCACAGGCCATGTGGCCTTGAGGAAGGCACCTTGGAGTGAGGGTCAGGAGATGTGAGCCCGAGTGCCATCACACGGCATCACTGTTGCCACTGCGTGATGCAAGTTTTCTTATCCACAAACTCAGCCGCTGGACTCGATGTTTTCTGCTTTTGCTGGCGTCTCCTGTGGGAACGGATAAGTAAGACACAGATCCCGCTCTTAAGGAGTTCATTAAAGGTCCAAGGCTGGAACCTTGATCAGCACAGACGCTCCTTCTGAGGTCCACTGAGAACGCCGACTCTACCTCTCAGCTCATCCCTGTGAACGGGCGCTGTGTTTCCCTCCCGCAGTTCTGGCAGTATGGAGGGTGGGTGGAGGTGGTGGTGGACGACAGGCTGCCCACCAAGGACGGGGAGCTGCTCTTCCTGCGCTCTGAGGAAGGCAATGAGCTCTGGAGCGTGCTGCTGGAGAAGGCCTACGCCAAGTAAGTGGGTCAGGGAGGAACTGGGAGGCTCCGCAGTCTCCTTGGAGGATTTCACCTGACCCTCCCCAGACTCTGGGTACCATGCCCATCGTTCCCAGCCCCTGTAGTCCATGTAAAGTACCCCTCTGTAACTAAGAGAAACAGAAATTTGGGCTACGAGTTAAAAGCTCAGCTCTGTCCCACATGAATGAGTGAATTGGAACCACCACTTAGCTTCTTGGTGTCTCAGCTTTGTCCTCTTTAAAACCCCGGGTCAGTTCTTAGGTCAATGGGAATTTTTATTTTATTTATTTATTTATTATTATTATGTTTTTGCCATACGCGGGCCTCTCACTGTTGTGGCCTTTCCCGTTGCGGAGCACAGGCTCCGGACTCGCAGGCTCAGCGGCCATGGCTCCCGGGCCCAGCCGCTCCGCGGCATGTGGGATCTTCCTGGACCGGGGCACGAACCCGTGTCCCCTGCATCGGCAGGTGGACTCTCAACCACTGCGCCACCAGGGAAGCCCCAATGTGAATTTTTAAAAGAATGACAAAGAAGAAGAAAGCAAATGTACTTAGATCCCAAACTCATCAAAGTCTCTACCCTTTGCTTGGGAGTCATGCTCCTTCTCACTGGCATTCTATGTTCAAAGTCTTCTTTGGGGTTCTCTGAATTAGTTTCATTGACTGGTACCCTTTTGTGCAACCCCTGTTCCTTCCCAGCCCTATTCCCAAAGCAAACACCAAGGGATGCCTCTCAGCTTTGAGGGAGGGTCCCCATCATCCCTACCCATGCCCCAACCCCCAGAAACCTAAGAAGCCAAAGTCAGCTCTGGAAAGATTGCACTTTGGTTTTTAAAAGAGCACATGGCTTGGTGAGAGGTGATCTGAGATTTGCTCCTGGAAAAGTGCTGAGCTGGCCACGTGAAACTGTGCCTAAGCCCCTCCCTGGCCCACAGACAAAATTGGCAAAGGCCCTCCTGTACCTTCCAGACCACACCATGTCCTACCTACCCCATCCCATGTGGTCCCCTCCCTGGGGTTGCTAATGGCTCTGGATGGTGCACGTATTTGTGTTCTTTTTCCAACAGGCTCAACAGTTCTTATGAGGCTCTCGCTGGCGGGTCCACAGTGGAGGGGTTTGAGGATTTCACAGGTGGCATCTCTGAGTTTTATGAGCTGAAGAAGCCACCAGCCAGTCTGTTTCAGATCATCGGGAAGGCCCTTCGAGCAGGGTCTCTTCTGGCCTGCTCCATTGATGTGAGCCGGGACGGTTTCTCTTTGCTGCCCCTCCCCATGTGTGGTAGGGAAGGAACCGGACAGGTTCCTAGAGGCTGGGAAGGCTTTGGGCCAGAGCAGAGTCTAGGACTTACAGGGCAAATCCTGTGACATATTTGTCCCTAGCACGTGGGAGCCGGTGGGAAGAGACCTAATTAATAAGTAGGAACTGGAGTTGGTCTCATAAACTCAGAAATCATAGGAGTTCTAAGTGTTAAGCCCCGTTAGTACTGCAGGAATTGCCTTAAGAATGCAGACTTGATCTCTGGATACTGGGCCTTACCTTTGCTACCCCCTCTTGCTAAGTAATCTTGGGATTTTGGAAAACAAATATGGTGATTGACAGTACATGATGGGCTTTGAGAACACTGAAGAAAAGGGGAGAGGTTCTGAACCAGGGGTGGTGCCCTGTCTGGGGGCTGGCTGTATGCGGTTCCAAGGTAGTGTGTAGACCAGAGCCTGGAGGCCACCAGCCACGTGGTCTGCTGTCACCTGCCCCTCCACCTGCTCTTTCTCCTTCTCTGGACCCTTACCTGGTGACCTCACGCACGTGAATGACAAAGCAAGGGCCATCCCCCCTTTTCCTCTCTATAAAAACCCCAGCAGGATATGTGTATTTTTGGTGGAGAAGTGACGTGGGGTCTGGGGAGAGGGAGGGGCTGTTGAGGAGGGACCCTGGGGACACCCACCGCCACTGGTGAACCAGGGCCGGTCCAGACAACTCTCATGGATAATTAGTCTTCTGCAGGCAGGGTGGGGTCCTTCTTGGAGAATAAATGGCTTCCCGCTTCCTGTGTCATTTCAAAGGCTGGTAAGTCATACTCCAGGACTGGCAGGCAGGCCTGATCAAAGAGGGTTTGGATGGAGAGAGCTCTGTTTACCTGAGGTTAATTGCTGCGCCTGCCCCCGCCCCACCCCACCCCCAGCCCTGCACTGGGACCCTGTGGCTGTGTAGCATGTCCTTGGAAAGCATTGTAGGACTGGCCCCAACAAGGTCAGGGGCAGCCACTCTGAGTGGAATTTACTCTCAACTCAGGTCTCCAGTGCAGCTGCAGCAGAAGCCATCACCAGCCTGAAGCTGGTTAAGAGTCACACATACTCTGTCACTGGAGTCGAAGAGGTAAAACTGGGCATGGGGAGACGGAAGGGCAATGCGTAATGATACTACCATAAATCCCTGGCATCCTTGAGAGAAAGAGAGGGAATCACCACCTAGCCCTTTCCTGCCCTGCTGAGGTGCAGCATCTCTGGTGGCACAGAGCCCCTGGCACCGACCCACACTCAGCTCTTGCTTATTACAAGGGCCCTCCTACCTCTTACCCACTCAGAGATGGATGACGTAACCTCTGAGCTTCAGCTCTATGGGTTCTAACTAAATGCAGGCTATGCTCTGAGGTGTGGCCAGGAAGAGGGACGAAGTTTTGGAGGAAAGTTGTAGAAACTGTCAGATCTACACTCATTCTAAGAAGGGTGCTTGGGCTTCCCTGGTGGCGCAGTGGTTGACGGTCCGTCTGCCAATGAAGGGCACACGGGTTCAAGCCCTAGTCCGGGAAGATCCCACATGCCGCGGAGCAACTAAGCCCGTGAGCCACAACTGCTGAGCCCATGTGCCACAACTACTGAGCCTGAGCTCTAGAGGCCGTGCTCCGCAAAAAGAGAAGCCACCGCAATGAGAAGCCCGCGCACCGCAACGAAGAGTAGCCCCTGCTCTCCGCAACTAGAGGAAGCCCGCGCACAGCTTCGAAGACCCAATGCAGCCAAAAATAAATAAATAAAATAAATAAATTGAAAAAAAAGAAAAGCATTAAAAAAGTATATCTTACTGTATGTCATATGGAAAAAAAAAAAAAAGTATGTTTGTACAGGTAAAGCAGTGGAAACCCATAGGATCTCCAAAGAGAAAAAGGCTGTAAAGCCTGCCCCAACTTTCAAGGTGGGGTGTGATGGTGGGAAGGAAAGCAAGTATTTCTTACGTTCCAATCCAAGGAGAAAGCATGGGCTGAACTTTTCATTATTTCTATTTACCATAGTCTGCCTACCTCCAAAAAGCATGTGCATTGGTTTACAATGAAAAGCACAGACACAATAAAACCGTACAACAAAGGTAAAATACACCAGACACTCTAGGCTAAAGACAGTGCTCCAGCTGAGAAATTAATTTTGTTTTGGGTTTCCTGATGGTCAAGGCAAAAAAGGAAACGCAGTGGTTGTTATTTATTAAAAAGGCATGAATGTTCATTACGTGTGTTTGTGTTTCACAGATACGCTCTTTAATGAAGTTAATTCCCAAATATGAATTGAGCACGTATATGTAAACACTGGGCAAGGGCATGACGGAGGATACAAAGGAAGGTCAGGCACTGAAGACAGAGCGGTCCATCATGTTTGCACGTGTATGCAAAGGCACACATGGGGGCTCCTGGTGAGTGTTCCGTAGACAATAGGGGAAGGTGGATGTATGGATTTCCCACTATGGGCTTTGAGACAGACTGCCTGGGTGCCTGTCCTCCATCTACTACTTACTAACTAGGTAATCTTGGGTAACTCAACCCCTCTGGCTGGGTCTCAGAGGCTTTTTTGTTTGCTTGTTTGTTTTTTAAAATTTTTATTGGAGTATAGTTGATTTACAACGTTGTGTTAGTTTCAGGTGTACACCAAAGTGAATCAGTTATACATGTACATATATCTACTCTCTCTGGGTCTCACAGTTTTGAGAGAGATGAAAATGAAGATAAAACAGCACCCAGTTTATAGGATTGTGGTGAGGTTTAAATGAGGTGATAATGCATCTGAACTCTCCAGCTCCATGCCTAGCTCATACTACCTGCTCAAAAAATGCTAACTGCTCTGTTCTTAGTATTTGTTGGAGGGCATTCATTGTCACTAGGTTTCATATATTGAGAACTGAGTCAGTCAACTATCAAATTTTAATCCAAGTTAAAGCAGATAGACACTTGTTTTTATACTGGATTTACTATTTATTCAACCAGATTGTGGAAAATAGAGTAGTTAGCTAAGGCTTGAAAACATGTGTTAAAAGCAAATATAAGTGGTTGTTTAGGGGCATTTGGGGAATTGAATGCAGGTCCGCTCAGGCGAGGACATGAACGCAGGGTAGCAGGGGTATGTGCGGTGATACAGTTGCCTTTGTCTGTGGTCCTTGCAAGTGGACTTCCGGGGCCATCCAGAGAAGCTGATGAGACTCCAGAACCCGTGGGGTGAAGTGGAATGGCTGGGGGCCTGGAGCGATGAGTAGGTTCTTTTCTCCCTCCGCCCGTGCTAGCCTCCCTCTGCGGGAAGCCATCCTGCAAAACACGCAGTGATCGTGAGACCCACAGTGGAGTACGCTCGGCAGCACTTTCCGTCCACAAACCACACAGCCTGTTCAGAAAAGAGTGTTAGATGGTTCCAGGTGGGGAAAAGCCAAACAAAAACCGCTCAGCTGTAGTCTTTGATTCATTGCTCTGCTTTGGCATTTGCAAGTTTGGCAGCTCAGTGGAATTTTGCTGAGCGCCGGAGGGTTGGCTTGTTTTCTACCTACCACCGCAGTCATCCAAAGGTGAGACCCATCACTCTCCATCGGATTCTTTCCACTCCACAAAGCCTGGTCACTCTGACAAAGGCCAAACCCCTCAGCATCAAGAAGAAACGTGCCTAGAAATAGGAACTGGATCCTAGGAGCCACTGGCCGCCAGAGGCAGTGAGGATGAGTGGGAGTGGTGCCCTCTCCCCCAGAGCTCGTTAGGGGCGGGTATTGATCTCTCCCAACAAAGCCGTTAATGAACGGAGGGGCCCAGACCTCTCACAGTGGAGAGTGGCAGCCAGTCAGAGTGGTGCCTGGACACAGAGGCCTCCTGTGGTGTCCTGGGACAGCTGTGCCCTGGAATCGATGCCACCATGGTACCGGAGGATGGAGAGAGCATGGCCCAGTTTCCATCCTAGTTAGCACCGCTGGCACGGGGGAGGCAGGTTGGCGCTGGGGAAGGATGGAGGATTGGCCAGTGTCACTGATGAAGAGCTGCCAGAAGTGGGAATGGTCATAATAACAACTCAACCCCCCAGCACATCCTTAAGCCTCGTATGTACCTCATATGTGCTGTCCGCACTGCATGATGCCACCAGGGCTTTGGAAGGGAACTTTATTACATTTATGAGCTAATCACACATCATTAGTGCTCGTAACTGGTACTTCCCTTGAGGTTTGTGTCATGAAGAAACACATCCCCAGGGCCACAGATCACCTCTTATATTAAAGATTTTTCATTCTCCTGCCTATGATGGAGCAAAACCCAAAACCTTAGTTCTGCCAACTGCCCCAAAAGGATGTCATGGCTGAATGAAATTGAAACCCCAGTTTTGGTCATTTTAAGCAGCAGCTGCTTCCCAAGCTGCTTACGGGGCTTATATGACTTTATCTCCTTTCCCCAATCATGCTCAGTCCCTAACAGGCTGGGACAGGTCCAAGGTGTGAGGTGATGACAGGCAAGCCCGCAGGCTCCATCTGGAGATGCAGCCGGGGGTATTTATACATGGCTGCTGGGGGAGGAGGGTGCTGCATCTCTGAGGTAACATCCCTCCCTAGTCTCAGCCCAATGTCTTTAAATTAGAACTTTTATTTTAAGTTTCAAGAAACTAACTGGGAGATTTAGGTCAGATCTCATATTCTCCAGCTAGTCCCCTAATCTTTGTTTATAACAAGCACATTCTGAGGATTGGCTCTTTTTTAAAAAAATAAATTTATTTTATTTATTTATTTTTGGCTGTGTTGGGTCTTCGTTTCTGTGTGCGGGCTTTCTCTAGTTGCGGCGAGTGGGGGCTACTCTTCATTGCAGTGCACGGACTTCTCATTGCTGTGGCTTCTCTCGTTGTGGAGCACGGGCTCTAGGCGTGCGGGCTTCAGTAGTTGTGGCACGTGCGCTCAGTAGTTGTGACTCGCGGGCTCTAGAGCACAGACTCAGTAGTTGTGGCGCATGGGCTTAGTTGCTCCGCAGCATGTGGGATCTTCCCGGACCAGGGATCGAACCTGTGTCCCCTGCATTGGCAGGTGGATTCTCAACCATTGTGCCACCAGGGAAGCCCAGGGAAGCCCCTGAGGTTCGGTCTGATCCAATGACTATTTCCATGAACTAAATAGGCCCTGGGTGCTCCCATCCCTGATCCCTAAGGGTCCTGAGAGCCCCCCTGGAGGAAGAGGCTGGGCTTGGGTATGCCCCAGCTTTTATGCAGTGACGGGGAGGTCTTCACGTTTTGCTGAAAGCAATCAGGGAAGGGATTATTTAAAGATGGATCTGGATACTGCCCAGTTATTTAGCATTGCAGACATATTTCAGGAAAACCTAACTTCTTAAAGGTCAGGTAGCTGGAAATGGCATTTCAACAAATTATGTGGGTATTGCTATGGAAAGGCCGCCAGCAGGAGGCCTCACAGGGTGACATTACTTCATGGAAATTGTCACAAAACTGGGCCTGATTGTCAGTTTGCAGGCTCAGGAAGGGGACCATGTTCATGTGCCCAGAGATGCTCAGACCCTCTCACAGTATCTTCACTTCAGACTGTTAGATAAGCCAGAAGGACGTCTCACCAATTGAGAAGGGGTAGAGTGGCCTGTGGCAGCCATTCTCACAGCTCCTGCCTTGGACTTGCCCAGGCCTGTGATCAGGGCCTGGGGGGCTGAATCAGACATAAATGTAAAACTTGCCTGGAGAGTAAACTTAGAGCAAAGCCATGGCGCAGTGTTCCTGCTGCATGTCTGGGGTCACCCTGCTAGGGCCCGTGGAGCCCCGTCCCTTCCCCAGGCTACACCCCCCTCCCACCCCTGGCTATCATTTCGGTATTCCCCATTTCTCAGGGGGAAGTTGAGCTGCAGTAAACACCTTGCACTGCAGCAAACCCTTCAGGAATGATCACCTCTGCTTCCTTTAAAAAAAACTTTAAATGTTATTCTTTCTTTCCCAGCGCGCCAGAGTGGAATTACATAGATCCCAGGCAGAAAGGAAAGCTGGACAAGAAAGCTGAGGACGGAGAGTTCTGGTGAGAGTCACCTGCGGGAGTGCTGTCCCCTTAGTTGTGGGTCCATTCCTGGTTCACAGGTAGGCAGCTCTCTCTAGGTGTTCCAGGAATTCAACATGGTTCCCAGCCAGGAGGGCTTCTTTCTCCTCCCCCTTTTACCTCAGAGTAGTTCTACCTCCGTACGTCTAAAGCATTGAAACCAAGATATCTGGGCCTCAACACGGATTAGCTATCAGCTTGTCTTCCTCCGTTTCCATATCTTTCCAGTGAACTAGGAGCACTGTTCCCATCTCTTTAAGTCCAAGATTTAGCATAGCATCAAAATAAGATAACTTGGGCTTCCCTGGTGGCGCAGTGGTTGAGAGTCCGCCTGCCGATGCAGGGGACATGGGTTCGTGCCCCGGTCCGGGAAGATCCCATGTGCCGCGGAGTGGCTGGGCCCGTGAGCCATGGCCGCCGAGCCTGTGCGTCCAGAGCCTGTGCTCCGCAACGGGAGAGGCCACAACAGTGAGAGGCCCGCATACCGCCAAAAAAAAAAAAAAAATTCTACACACTTGTGCCTTAGATAAAAAAAAATAATCTGGAAGTGGAAGTTCTGGGAAGGTGGAATTGAATAAGTAACTTTATTGTTAAGAAAATATAATAACCAGTGGCTCTTGGTCACCTGTGAATGCCCTGTTATTGTATCAGGTTGGACCCTTATCTAGAAGATCTAAGCACTCTGTCCATCCCCCACCCCTTTCTTCCCCCAGGGCACATGGTTATTGAAATTATTGAGGCCCTGGCATGGAGATCGCTGCCAAGCCTATCTTCCTCAATCATACTCTGCCACTTGAGTCAGTCATAGAATTGCTGTGTGTCCCTGGATGACCCATTTGCCCTTTCTGTGCCTTGGCTTGTACAGTCACTATTTGGAGAGATTTTTTTTTTAAGGTCATATTTGAAATGTAGCAGTGTTTTAAAATATCCATAGGTGGTATGGCAGGCATGCTTCTTAATTGCCAATTATTATTCCTTGGGCATTATTAAATGACGTACTCTTGAGGGAGTGTCCCTCGTCACTGGCTGCCACGCTGAGCCATCTAGTGGGGCCCCTGGATCAATGGACAGAGGATCAGCAATCATGGCTGTTTTGGGCTGTGATCTGAAGCGGGGGCCCGTCAGACAGGCTTCCCAGGGGGCAAGGGTGGTCATCTTCTTATAGTCTGTCAGGAGAGACCTCCTTGGTAGCTAGCTTTTGCTAGAATTGTCCTCATCTGTTTCAGGGACCTGCTTTTCCCCCCAGAGACCTCCTTCCTCCAGGAGATGGGTTCATCTTCACGGGCCAGTTCTTCACAGGCTGAGAACAAGGAGATGTTAATCATTTCCCCAGAAGACTTGGAGTTTCCTTCCCGGGGGACCAAGTGTAGCCCTGGGACCACGGGACCTTGCATATCCCATCAAGTATATCTGGGCCCTGGTTGATCAAATGGACAAGTGTAGTTTCCACATGCTGTGGGGTGCGTGTGCTGGTATGTGGGTGGGGTAGGGAGATAGGAGGAAATGCTGACCATCTTGTAAAGCAAACTTGCCAAGGCCTGCTTACCCGGCACAGTTGGGCCAGAGTTATGCTTTCCTTGAGATGATCAAAATTCCTCCCTTTCATTCTATTTTTCCCGATCTCCTCACCCCCCCCTGGGGGGAACCACCATCTCCTGGGCGACTTCTAGCCACTTACTGGACCAATCCCCAGTTCAAAATCTGTTTGGATGAGGTGGGCGACCACCAGGAGGAGAGGTTGGTGAACCCGGCTGCACGGTGCTGCTGGGGCTGATGCAGAAGAATCGCAGGCGACAGAAGAGGATGGGGCAGGGCATGCTCAGCATGGGCTATGCTGTCTACAAGGTACTCTGGAGCTGGGGTCAGCCGTCACGGCACGCCTGATGTCTTTGGTCAGAATATTTTGCCCAGCAATTGAAGCAAATCTTTCTTATTGTTTGGATGTCCCTAATCAAGCATTTTCCTTGCTCCCCAAAATGCCTCCCCCAGTGGCCTTACTGAGGCCTGAATTCCACAATTAGAGATTCATTCCTCTGGCTTAAATCTCTACTGTTAACACTGAGACGTGTAATTCATCAAGCTTTGTCTGTCATTGAGGGTTCAGTGTAACTACACTTATTAGACTCTCTCCAGGTATAGGCTTCTCAGGGGATAGGAGCCAAGAAGGTGACACAAGGAGTATGAGGACATCACAGAGTGGGGGAAGGGAGCCAAAGACAAATCCTCTTTCTCCCTGGGCAACCTTGAAACACTTGTGTGTTGGGACACACAAGGCGTGGGCTGGGGTGAAAGGAGCCCCAGGTCATTTTCAGTTCTGGTGTCTCTGGACTGAAGGTCACAGCTGGCTCTGGGCTCAGGCTGCAGTGCATGGCTCAATACCCCAGTTTGCCCTGTAACCACCCCTCTATAGATTTCGCAGCCTAACAAGTAGGTTAAAGCAAGACCTCTGGGTCTTGACAAGCGTAGCCAGCGTCAAATTGGAATCCACTTATTTTACGTAGGCAAAGACTTTTTATAACGAATTCCGGAGGGATTCGTGGTGGTTGTTTTTATAGAATTTTGTTAAAAGTGAATTTCTTGGGAAAAATACAATTCTAATCAGAAACACCCAGAGCTGGCTGGAAGCCCAGCATCTCAGTATACATAAGTGCATGGGAAGGACGTACTATAATAAGAAACCAGTAAGGAAAAGCGCAATTGTCAAGCTCACGCGACCCCCAGCTCCTTTCTTTCTCTTATTTTGGAACTTAGAGTTTTAGAGTTTAGTGTGTGTGTGTATGTGTGTGTACTTTGTGTTGGAGGAATGGGAGTTGGAAGATAATTGCTGCTTGTTGGCTGGAGAAAAGTATTTCAAATAAATAAGCTCCAATTCTACTCCAGCTTATCCCTTCCATCCTCACCTAGAATGTAAGTAGGACCAAAACAGATGTTTTGCTTATAGGGATAAAAACCCAAGAAAGCACTTACCCTATGCATATCAATTCAACAGTTCTTTAGTGCGTATCTGCCACGTGCCAGGTGCCGTGCTGAAAGCTGAGATCCAGAGGAAGAGCAGAAGGTTATCGACCTCAGGGTGCTCACAATCTAGAGGGGAAAACCACACACACACTCCACTGACTACAGGGCAGGTCAGATCTGCTATGACGGGGACCAGCACGGTGAGCTGAGGTCTCCTCAGAGAGGGATAGCTTCGTGGAGGAGGAGAATTTGATCAGGGCGTCAAAAAATGAGCTGAGGGGCTTCCCTGGTGGCGCAGTGGTTGAGAGTCCGCCTGCCGATGCAGGGGACGCGGGTTCGTGCCACAGTCCGGGAGGTTCCCACATGCCACGGAGCAGCTGGGCCCGTGGGCCAATGCCGCGGAGCCTGCGCATCCGGAGCCTGTGCTCCGCAACGGGAGAGGCCGCAACAGTGAGAGGCCCGCGTACCGCAAAGAAAGAAAAAAAGAAAAAAAAAGTTATGTTTACATCATGTCTAGAAAAACAACGTACATATCTTAATTTAAAAAATACTTAATTGCTAAAATATGCTAACCATAATCTGACCCTTCAGCAAGTCAGCGTAGTAACATCAAAGATCACTGATCACCATAATAAATATAATAATGAAAACGTTTGAAATATTGGTGAGCCACGGCCGCTGAGCCTGCGCGTCCGGAGCCTGTGCTCCGCAACGGGAGGGGCCACGACAGCGAGAGGCCCGCGTACCAGGAAAAAGAAAAATAAATAAATAAAATAAGCTGGATTTCAAAGGTGGATGAGGGAGAACATTCCAGCCATAGGGGACATCATATGCTTCTTGACAGCTGGAGAGGAAGTGACAGTTTGGGAAAGCAGGCAGGAGGCGGAGCGTGGCCAAAGGGTGGGCTGGATGGGGACTGTGGCCACCAGCTCTTCATCCACCAGCTCTACCTTCTATAACCGGATCAACAAAGCGTTCTTTCAAAGGGACGTGAGCTAACACACGGAAATAGCTCTATGGGCATGGCATTTGCTCTCGTAAGTAATATATACGGCATGTCAATTTTTCAGACATTAGTTTACAGCTGCTTATAAAGTAACCCCATGTATGTGATCCGTGGACCTTCTTACAGCCAGAGGCATATAAATTAGAGCACGACATCTGTGAACACAGCCACTTTAACGTTAGGGTGAGGAAGGTGTACAGCCCTGTAGGGAGTGTCTGTGCCTGGGCTTGTAGAAAGTACCTGGTGTTGGAGAGAGGCCATGTAGGGATTGCAGGGGGTACCATTCTCTGACCCCTGGAACTGCCTCTTCTGGCCTTAACTGTCTGCAAACAGGAGTCTGGTTTGAGGTGGGAAAACTGACACTGACTGAGGAACAGCCAGAAACCCCCAAAGGCTAAAAAGCCCTGCTTGTCTGGCCCCCTCTCTCTCCCCTGTAATCTTCCTGCTGTGACAACAGGCTCCTGCCACGCAGGCCTGTCATTTGCATTCAGGATATCTTGCATTTCAAAGGTGACTGTCCCTTTCCATCCATCAGTGGGCAAGGCTGGCCTGCGCTCCTGCCTGGATGCTGCGGCTGGGGACTTGGGCCACCTGAGGCCTGGCTGGCTGGCTCAGTTCCTGCCTGGGGCCTCTTGGCAGTGGATTCAGAGAATATTGCCTGCGGCGGTGGGCGGGGTGAATGCAAAGACAGCCGAGGTGGTTGAGAGTCCCTGCCCAGGGGGTGAAGGCTGTTGGGAGGCAGATCCCCCCGAGGACCTCTGCTCTCCCAGACAGCCGGGGCCTCTGCATGCGGGATTTTAGCTTTAGATGCAAACTTAGAGGAGTGACTGCAGACTTTTCTACCTCTGCTGCCAATTATAAACGGGGGGGCTCCAGAGTGAGGATGCCAGCTGACCCAAATTTTCCCTAATTTTTTTCCCTCAGAGTTGGCAGCTGCCCACAGACCTAAGCCACAAACAATGCCCTTCCTGCTCTTCTGGTCAAAAGAGCCTGCTTGGGAGGGGCAAAGGTGGGAAAAGGACAAGGGGGGATTGAACCCTCTTCGGAGCCTTCTCTGGCATGGGAGGACTCCCACTCTGCATCTGAGATCTCCTGTGGGCATCACCATTTCCATTTGCAAATAATAGGACCTAACTCTACCTAGACTAGTGAAAAAGGAATTTACCAGCTCATGTCACCAAACCTAGGGAAGGACAGGGATGCTTAGGACAGGTGACGTGCCTGCTCTCAGGACACTTTCTCTTCACATGTCCCCTCTGGTGTCAATGCCATCTTCCTGGTCTGGCTTTCTGCACAGTCTCTCTAATATCACCCACATAAAACAAGGGGGCCCCTTCCCTTAGTTCCAATTTGAAAATCCTAGAGGAGTCTGTGATGGACTCAGCTAGGGTCATGTACCTATTCCTGGACCAATCCCTGTAGCCAGTGGTGATTAAATTATGTCTCGAGTTGAGTGAGACCCCTTTCTGGCCAAGCCCTTGATCTGGAGGCCAGGTCTCTAGGTCTGTAAGATGTTAGTTTTCCTTTAACCCCCAAGGTTAGTACTCCTCAAACATTTGGGATCCTGGTAGATTATACAATATGAAAATAAAGGAGAACCTTTTTTTTCCTTTCGGATTTCTAGGGCTCAGTAGTCCACAGATGGCCTTGAAAATTCACCAATGACTTTCCATTTTCAGAAATGCTAATGACTCTCACTTTAGCACAGAATTCCTCCCAGTGGCCCAGGACTGCACAGTCTGTGGGCCAGATGTGGGGAGGGACACAGAGGCACAAAGGGAGGTCCACGGCACCCTCAGGTGACATGCTTTTGTCTCCTGCCCTGTAGGTCCCCAAAGAGATATGTGAACACCGACGGAGATGTCCTCCTTGGTAAGGAACAGCTGGGCTGCCTTCGTGATGGGCACCCAGTGGCATGTGCTTCCTCTGATGGAAGCCGGTTCTCCCACAAACAGACTCCCACAGGATCCGGTGAGCTGCTCACCCTGAGAGAGCTGGTAAAGACACTTGGGTCCCACCAGCCAGGAAGGGGACAGTGGTGACCTTTGCCCCTTGTGTGCCTGGTGGTCTGATCCAAACAAGATGACTGTAGCTCACTTAGGCTCCTGTTTATCTAGCCGACAGAAATAAAGGCCCAGAGAAGGAAGCACCAACTTTATCTTTTTGGCTCCCAGCTTTTCCTGCATCTCCTCAGTGATTTACAGCTGGGTTAGAGAAGCATGTCATCAGGGTCGTACTTACATCTGGGGTTTCCTGCTGCGGTCCCAGGCCTCACCCAGCTATCCCGGTGGCCTCGTGGGCAGGGGCTGGTGGGGTGCTGTTAGAGTGCCTCATCCATGCAGCTGGCACACAGTCAGGCCCCAGCTCGTCCCAGCCCAGCGAGCCTCTCCTCGGCTGCACGCTAGGGACACCTGGGAGCTCTTAGACATCTCCATGCCCAGGCCAATTATGGCAGAATCTCTGGGGTGATTCCAATGTGCGGCCAAGGTTAGGAACCACTTGTTCTGTCTGGGGCTACCCCAGCCGGAGTCTATTACTCGAATTATGTAGGGGTACGTATGCCCTGCTGTGCTAATCCCTGCTCCCCCCGGGGTTCTCAACCTTGGCCACCTGGTAGCATGTGCCAATGAGGCCCAAGTTCACAGGTTCCAGCCTATGCTTTCTTCCAAGGCTGCCGATCACTGGTCTACCCTGCCTGATGGCTCCCAGATGCATATTATTGGTTATGGAGGCAACAGACAAGAGCGAATGGATGATTTAGAGCATGCCCCTCTTCACTACTCAAAAGTAATTAAATTCAAACATGCATTAAGTCTGATGGATGGTGGCTCCCATCAGAAGCGGCCCGTCTATGAGAGCGAGGTCCTCTGCACACACTGTGGAGCCTCCAGGAGCATCTCCCGGTGCTCTCCGCGCGTCGCTGTGGATGCTGTGCTCTGCAAGTGCCGGTGGCTCTTTGGTCAGCGGTTCCAAGGCCTGGGGGCTCGTGAAAGCACAGGCTGCTGGGCCCCAGCCCCAGAGTCTCTGATTCCGCAGGTCTGACTTGGGGCCCGAGGACTTGCACTTTCAACAAGCTCCCCAGGGGTGCCCATGCTGACCCCGGGCCCACACACTCGTGGCTGGGCCAGGCCACGGGGAGATGTGAGGGCCAGGGCCCTGGTGGCACATGCCTGTGTGGAGTCCCCAGTAGGACAGAGGGGCCCCAGCTCCTGCCTCCGTGCTCTCCACCTCTCACTCTGGCCTCCCAGGTGAGGCTTCTGCAATCTGTCCCGCCCCTGGGTTCCTGCTAGAGCTCAGTTTGCCCCATTCCCTTCCTACCCCCCACCCGACACTTCTCCTTTTCCCCTGCTGGTTGCCTGTTTCCTCCCCTCGCAGTCATCAGGGAGGGCAAGAATGACATTTAGCCCCTTAACACTTGCACTCAGCCAAGGCCTTGCTGGCCATGCCCCCAGCATTCTGCCCAGAGTAGGAAACTTCTGGTGGGGGGGAATCCCAAGGCTGTGGCTGCTCTAGTGCCCAGGTCAGCAGGGGCAGGCTGGGGGGTCCCGCTGTGATCCAAAGAGGGTCGGGTGACCATGAATAGACACTGTCTACCCTGGGGTGGGCAGTCCAGCTCTGGGTCACACAGAGTTCACAGCCCTGGCAGCTTACCAGCACGTGCGCCCTGTCACAGGCATCTTGATGAAGGCTGGTCATGAAGATACAGTGCAATGGGGAGGCTCAATTACAGCACTAATAACACCGGCAACAGTGTTTTCAAAGCACTCTGTAGCCACTAATTAGCCCGTGGCATACGACCACAGCCTCCCTCTCCCTCCAACAAACAGATGGGTCTTGGGGAGCATCTTCCCCCTCCCAGGAGGGCCAGGCCTCCCTCGGGGTGGCCACCCGCTCTGTCTGCCTCCCTGCCCCGCCCCCCTCCCCCAGATCTGATCACCCCAGTCACCTCGCAGAGCAATTTTCCAAGCCAGGCCAAGGTTAGCAGGCCCTTCTGGCTGCTGTTGCTTGGGAACCAGGATTTAAGCCACAGGCCTGTACTGGGAAGCTCAGCGCCACACCCCCAGGTACAGCTGCAGAGTGAGAGTCTGTTGGATTCAATGAGGGTTGATTCATGAGGACAAATATCCAGAGAGAAGCTGAGCACACACACTGAGCACACCTGCTGTCCAGCCCTTCATTTAAGCGGGAAGAGGGCAAGGGGTCTGGCCAAGGTCAGTGGCGTAGTCAAGGTCAGTGCCTCAACCTGGGCCGGGCACCCAGAGGTGCTCTGAATACATTTGATGATGGACACACGGTGAGCTCACGACCGAATCCAAGGCTTCCTGATTCTCAGCCCAGGGTTAAAAATCAACCGTCCCTAAATTAGTGCGATAAAACCCAACTCTGGGGCCTTCATCTTCCAGGATTTCACAAGACATTGACCCTGACTGTTGCTTTGCACAGCTGGAGAGCCACACGGATGAGCGCCTGGGCCGGGTCTTCTTCCTGGGCCGCCAGCCTTCCGCCCGGTCCAGCACCTACGTCAACCTGCGCGAGGTCTCGGCACGTGTGCCGCTGCCCCCTGGGGAGTACGCGGTGGTGCCGTCCACCTTCGGGCCCTTCAAGGACGGCGACTTCTGCCTGAGGGTGTTCTCAGAGAAGAAGACCAAGGCCCTGGGCGTGTGCTTTCCCTCCGGGGTGGCGGGGTTGACGGAGGGACCTGGCTCCGCGCAGGTGCAGGCCCTGTCGCTGTGCGGGACCTACCCCTGGCTCCCAGAAGAAATTTGTAGAACACCATAGATCTCAAGGGTCCTTCACTAGGTGTCCCGCTACTGCCCCTACACGTTGGTCTGTAGGACATGGGGGGAGTTTTCCTTAAAAAAGGTCAAGGCTAGAGAGAAAGGGCACCAGTAACAGCCTGCTTAGAGCGTCTTCCTCGCAGCGGGGATGGGCACCTCATAGAGGAGGATCTAGATGAGAGCACCGCCTCTTCCCTTACGCACACCACACACACACACAACGCAGACATACACACACACAACACAGACGTATACCATACACATCCACAACACATACATACACACACACACACGACACACAACATACAAGACATACACACACCACAGACATACACACCACATACACAGATCACACACAGAACACAGACGTATACCATACACATCCACAACACATACATACGCACACACACGACACACAACATACAAGACATACACACACCACAGACATACGTACCACATACACAGATCACACACAGAACACAGACGTATACCATACACATCCACAACACATACATACACACACACAACACATGCTACACAACATACAAGACATACACACACCACAGACATACGTACCACATACACAGATCACACACACAACACATGCTACACAACATACAAGACATACACACACCACAGACATACACACCACATACACAGATCACACACACAACACAGACATATACCATACAATCCACAACACATACATACACACACCCAACACGCAACACATACTACACAACATACAACACATACACACACCACAGACATACACACTGCACACACAACACACACACCAGACATACACACCGCACACACAACACACACACCAGACATACACACCACATGCATACATAGACACACCACACACACCACAGACATACACAACACACACACCACAGACATTCACACACCACACACCACACATACTACACATACACACCACACACACACGCCATACATACACACAGACCACATATTACCACACACATATATACCACACACACACCACAAGCAGACCACACACACCTGATATACCTTACACATACCATACACACACATCACACACACCACACATACATAACACATATATAACACACACATATACACCACACACGTTCCACATACCACACACACACACACACACACACACACAAATACCACACACAAGGGCCCCACACATTGTATAAACCCCCCCATCCACCACACACTCCACACACACACCATAAATATACATCACACAGACACATGCCATACATACACACACACCACATATATCACACACACACACCACACTGCACCACATAAACCATGTACGTGTGTACATGGATACATGGGCTGTGGGCTTGGTGGCTCATTCCTCAGACACCATTTCAATAGGGATTCACATAGCTGGGTTCCTAGGGGAAGATGAGAATAGTAACTGGGGCAAGGTGGGGAGAGAACTCCCCAGGAGAGTGGTCCACCAGGGGGAACATACTAGATTCCATGAGGCACCCAATGAACTTGGCAGTTTTTGTCTCTGGTGAAAAACTCAGTGTGGGGGGGTGTTGGGGAGGTGAAGGGAGGGATCCTGGTTCAGTTTATGCAGTTTGGTGCTAGTAGGAACTGAAGGTCTTGTGTAGGAATCCAATCCCTCAGCAGAGTTAAAAACTTCCTAAAAGAACCTAGGCATTAGCTATATGTTTGACTTACTCATATTTGTTTTTTTCTTTCTTCATATTTTAGGGAAATTGGGGATGTAGTAGCTGGAAACCCACATGAGGTATGCCGCATTTTAGTATGCCAGCTCTGACACTGATGTGTAGCAGTCATTTGGGATTTCTTATTGATTCATAACTGCTCTTTATATATTGAGGATGATAGCTTTATTCATCAGGGCCACAACATTTTCTAGGTCCTGGCTCTTCCTGATGAAGATGAGATAGACACAGCACCTGGAACCCAGGCTTTGTAACACATTCCTACCCCGTAGGGGGAGTCTGAGTGTCCCCCACATTCAGGCAGGTGGATCCTCAGAGCACTTGCTATGAGCTTGAGCACTTCTGGGTAGGATGGAGAAGGCGATGGGAGAAAGAGATCTCGTCCCTGCTCTTAGACAGACCTCCATCCAGTCTTTTAGACAAATGACAGAAGCATATGGAAAAAGATGAAGGGCAGCTCATGACAGAAATGGATCTAAGCCTGTGTGAATGTAGTCTGGGGGTGCTGGAGTGAGCACCTCCTTTGGGAGGCTCCGTGGGGGAGGTCATTTCAGAGCAGACTTTGGAGGAAGAAGTGCACAGAGTTTGTGGGTTCACCTGCCTCACTCCCTCTACCCCTCCCTCCCTGCCCTGTTTCTCAGATACGGTGCACAGAGGCAGCACGTTGAGTATGGCTGTTTTGTGAGGGGTAGTGGTATTATTTGGCATATATCAAGTCTTTAAGCTCATATTTCTGCAGATGCATGAGGAGGTGCCAAAGATGGACCCATCTTGCCCTGGAGGCGGGGCAGTTATGCCGTGAGTCTGTTAGTTAGAAAACGTGTGCCCCACTGTCTGTTCCTTCTCATTCCCATTAGTCTCTGAACTGGACTTGGTGCCCAGTAGTTAAGCTAATGGTCAGTAGCGGCCCCTGCCTTGAGTAAGCTGCAGTTCCTGGCACCAGAGGCCCTTTCTGTGCTCCTGCCGCTGGGTGGTCCCAGCTGGTCAGAGCTCTCCCTCCTGCCCCCTTCCCCTTCCCCATTGCAGGTAGATGCCAGCTCAGCCTCTTCCCTGCCCCCCAGGCCTTGTATCTCACAGTAGCTGCTCCTCCTAGTGGTCCCAAGTGTGTTAGAAAGGCCAGTGTGCCAATGTGGAGGGTGTGGATCTGAGTCCACAATTCAGGTGGGAAGAAATATCCTCCCCCACCCCCCCGCTTTTTTTTCCCTGCTAAATCAACTTAAAACTGACTCTACCATCATCAAAGATTCTACAAATAATAAATGCTGGAGAGGGCGTGGAGAAAAGAGAACCCTCCTACACTGTTGGTGGGAATGTAAATTGGTACAGCTACTATGGAGAACAGTATGGAGGTTCCTTAAAAAAACTAAAAATAGAGCTACCATATGATCCTGCAGTCCCACTCCCGGCCACATGACCAGAGAAAACCTTAATTCGAAAAGACACGTGCAACCACAATGTTCACAGCAGCACTATTTACAATAGCCCAGACATGGGAGCAACTCAAGTCTCCATCAACAGATGAATAGATAAAGAAGATGTGGTATATATGACGATGAAATATTACTCAACCATAAAAAAGAATGAAATAATGCCATCTGCAGAAACGTGGATGGACCTAGAGAATATCACACTAAGTGAAGTAAGTCAGACAAAGACAAATATAATATGACATCACTTATATGTAGAATCTAAAAAATGATACAAATGAACTTATTTACAAAATAGAAACAGACTCACAGACATAGAAAACAAATATATGGTTACCAAAGGAGAAAGGAGGGGGCAGGATAAATTAGGAGTTTGGGATTAACAGATATACACTACAATATATAAAATAGGTAAACAACAAAGGCCTAGTATAACTATATTCAATATCTTGTAATAAACCATAATGGAAAAGAATATGAGAAAGAAAATATATACATATATTCTTTCTCATACTCTGAATATATATATTTGAATCACTTTTCTGTACACCAGAAACTCACACAATATTGTAAATCAACTACACTTTAATAAAAAAAACTTACTAAACTCCCATTTCAGGAGTTCAATCTCAGTCATTGTCAGGGTGCACCATCTCCACCTCCCATGGTCTTGGGGTTTTCTGAAACACCAGAACAACAGGAAGTCTGTACCAGTCATGGGTCTTCACTGTTCTCCCTTAAGATGCCCACTGTCTCAGCTCATAGGTTCCTTCATGTCTGGCAGCTCTTGGGCTTCTGTACTAGGTCTGTGGCTTAGAATCTTTGGTAAACTAGGAGTCGCCAGGCCTAGGGGACAACCTTCCATTCTGAGGTCCCCAGAGCATCATGTATGGAGCCATACAAGGGTTCCCATATTTCAGGGCCCTGAACACTGCCAACATCTTCTTGGTCTCAGGGAAACTTGGCCTTTTCTCTTTAAGGTACCCCTCCCCCTGACACACACACACACACACACACACACACACACACACACACACACGCACTCCACAGGGATAATATCTTCAGGGGACTTAAGACTTTACAGGAGACAAGAAGAGCCATTGCCCTTGCCTTCAAGAACTTGTTTTCCTTCCTCCAGAAATCTCCAAGACTTGGACAGCTGGACATTTAAAAGGCCTGCTTGGAATGGGGGAGGGAAAAAAGAAAGCAATTGAACAAACACACTAGATAGGGTTGCAAAGATGCTGTCAACATATAATATGACAACAGTAAAATAATACCTGCTTTTGCCAGGTTGCCTTACCATTTCCAAAGCGTTTTCATGTATATTTTCTCAGAGCAACAGATAATTCCACTACGTTAAGGTCCTTGAGAGCAAGGACCATGTCTTGTTCACCACTACATCTCAGACACAGATATAGAACAGTTCCCAACATGTGCCAGGTGTCCAGTAAATATTTTTTTGAAGGAGTGAACGAACTGAAATACTGTTTGCCAGACCATGTATGCCATCATTTAAGAGCATCTTTCTCCCTGGTATCCAAAAACTCCCGTGTGCAATGACACCCCCTAGTGGTGAAGTGCCAGCTATGTACCCGTTTGTGCCTGTGTCCATTTTTTCTTTCACTTTTTTAAAATAAATTTTTATTGGAGTATAGTTGCTTTACAATGTTGTGTTAGTTTCTGCTGTACAGCAAATAGAATCAACAATACATATACATATAACCCCTCTTTTTTGGATTTCCTTCCATTTAGGTCACCACAGAGCACTGAGTAAAGTTCCCTGTGCTATGCGGTAGGTTCTCATTCATTATCTATTTTATACATAGTAGTGTACAAATGTCGATAGCAATCTCCCAATTCATCCCGCCGCCCCCCTTCCAAGGGGGACTTGAACTTTTAATATGCTTTGATATTGCATGTTTTCACGTATAACTTGTGTAATTTTTATAAGTACAGTATTTGAATATCTGCATGATTCCTAGGTAAGAAGACCATAAAGTTGCTTTAATAGAATCCTCCCTATTACTGCAGTTGACGTCTATAGCCAGGACCTTCCCAGTCCCTGAGGGAGAACAGTAGAACTGGAAGGCAGGAATATTAAGGCCGGTGGTGTAGAGCTGGAGAAGGTGGGTCTGAGCAGCCAGATCAATCTGCAGCCCTGAGATTTATCCTTATTGAAATGTATAGCTCTAGTCTATTTCTTCCTTTTTTAGAGATTTTTTTTTTGATGTGGACCATTTTTAAAGTCTTTATTGAATTTGTTACAATACTGCTTCTGTTTTATGTTTCGGTTTTTTGGCCACGAGGCATGTGGGATCTTAGCTCCCTGACCAGGGATCAAACCTCCACCCCCTGCATTGGAAGGTGAAGCCTTAATCACTGACAGCCAGGGAAGTCCCTCTCTCTCTCTCTCTTTCTTCCCCCCTCCCTCTCTCCTTCCCTTCCTTCCTTCCTTTCTTTCCAGTTCATACTTATTTTCCCCCAGAATAATAGAATATTACTCTATGTTCAGAATCTGTAGACTTCACACTAGATTCAGGTTATTGTATATTTTATTACACGGACGATATAAAGCTTTTATTCTACAAAACCACTTTAAAATCATACATGTGTGATGAGAAGTATTTATCATTTCTTCTAAAATCTTTAGTTGTATTTTTGGATTTACTCTTCATAAATGTAAACAGTATGATAGGCATTAAAACCCTTGTGTTATCGACGAGGAAGCAGATCCCTGGCGAGGTTGAGTTGCAGTAGGATGCTGAGAGCAGCTGCTCTGGGGGTCAGACTGGTGGCTGGTGAAACAGCGCACAAGCTTGACTTTGAATCCTGCCTCCACCATGTACCAGCTGTGTGATCTTGGCCTGTTACTTAACACTTTTAAACCTCAGTTTCTCCATCTGTGAAATGTGGATAGCAATGAGACCAATCTCACAGAGTTCTCATGAGTATTAAATGAACCAGTCTATGGTTCATTACTACCTGACAGGTAGTAAGTGCTCAACAAAGGTAAGTACTATTTACTACCGCTGCTACTCTTAACAGTACAGTATCATTGGGCCAGATCAGGCCTTTTGCACTTTCCTGAGTGATGGTTTTGGAAGAAATTGACTTGGTTTTCTGAAACTCTTCAAGACATCTGGGAAACTTGTGACTTTTCCTCTTCTATCTGGTGATGACAGTTGAGGAGTTTCATTCCATTTTGCAAAGAGCCCATGGTCATATCAGAAAGTCTCTGGACAGTCATTCATATAATGATTAGCGATTTTTGAAGGACTTTGACACACATTAGTTCTCATTTGATTCTCAAATGACCCCATGTAACAAGCCTAGTTAATTTAATACTGGACTTGAGGAAATGGATGTCAGAGCCCTGAGATGGAGTTTCGTAATTGGTCAGTGCGGTGTTTGAACTCCTGTCTTCTGGCTTCCAGTTCTGCTGTTTCCACTAGGCTGTGATTTTAACTCCTTTTTAATCATGTTGCTATTTCAGAATCTGGTGAAAGCTAAGAAAACACATGTTAACGTTACTCCCAATTTTCATGCAGTATCTGAAGTTTACAGACCCCCTTGAAGGTCATCAGTGAATCTCTTTTAGGAGCCCACAGACCCAGACTGAGATTCTCTGCTGTCAGTGGTGCCACCGATCTCTGAAAGCGATTCGGGGTTGAAATCAGAAATTCAGGGTTGGTGGGGATCACTTCCTCACATTGCTGATAGAGGAAGCCCCTAGACCCCTGGACCTTGCTGGATGGAGAGCTCCTGGGGTCAGGACCTTGGACCTCTCCTGTTTACTGTCATGTGCCCCCATCCACCCAGTGTCCGACACACGGCAGATATGCGACAGATGTAGTGAATGACGAGCGAATGAATTTTAAATCTTTGTCTTTCACTATCCTCAACAAGTCCCATCTTAACTTTGCAATTGCCCTGCCTTTTAGCCACACCCCAACGAGGTGAACAAGAAGACAGCCAGCTCTGGAGCCTGTTTGAGAAGCTTGCAGGGAAGGTGAGTAGAGGGCATAGACAAGCTCCCAGACAGGCAGGAGAGTGCTCTGGAAAGCTCAGCTCACTTGAGTCTTTCCCCTCGCATCTCCGTGAGTATAAATGATGAGGCCACAGGTCTCCGGTCCCCCAACTCTGTCTGTTGCCACTTTCCTGTCTTAAACCTGAGAGGCCTTTCCTGCACTGCTGGGGAGAGGAATCTTGGGACCAAGGCCATTTTTCTTGCTGTGTTGACTGCTTTTTGAGAAAACAGAAAATCCGAATCTCCAGGTCCTGCCAAAAGCCTTTCTGTGTATAAACTGGCCCTGTTGGATCAGAGCCCTGACTTTATAAAAAGAGGGGAGGCAAAACTTCCCTATATCAATATCCTTCAGAGATGAGAGGAATCGCTCAGCCCAGGTGGCAGGCGGCTCAGTTAACCTGGCCTGGGATTAGTGTTCACTGGCCCGCCACCCTGCCTGCCCTCAGGGACACCAGCGGAGCTTGGGCTGAGGAATTCAAGTTGGCCCAGGTGCAGGCACCACTCAGGGGCACATGGAGCCAGGGGAAGATGCTGGTGTGCCCCCTGCTTCTTCCCTCCCTGTCCTGCTGACTTATCTTATTGTGATTCCAGTCCTGTGAGGCCATAAGTCAGAGCAGACTCAGGACTGCAAGTGTCACAACTGGCCCCATAGATACAGTGAATGCACTGCTCTTTGAAGGATAATAAGGTTTGCCAAAGGGCCTTGGAAAGCAGCCGTCATCTTGGGCTGCCGTAACAATGTACCGCAGACTGGGAAGCATATGAAACAGAATAAACAGAAATTTATTTCTCACAGTTCTGGAGGCTGGAAGTCTGAGATCAGGCATGGTTGGATTCTGGAGAGGGCCTTCCTCTAGCTTGCAGACTGTTGGAGTCTCACTGTGTCCTCACAAGGTGGGAAGAGGGTGAGGGATCTGTCTGGGGTTCCTTTTATAAGGGCATTAATCCCACTCAAAAGGGCTTCACCCTCATGACCTAATCACCTCCCAAAAGTCTCTCCTCCTAATACTATGACATTGGGGATTGGATTTCAACAGATGAATTTTTGGGGACACAAGCATTCAGTCCATAACAGAAGGTAAAAACAATGCTCTCCACCCTGCAGGGAAGCTCAGAGCCACTTTCTAGACTTAAGGATAGCGTAGAAGAAAATACATCAGAATCCTTGCAGAAAATAAAACCTGGGAACAAAATTCCTTTATATAGCCATTAGGAAAAGCTTTGCAAAAATGAGTCAATCTGTGTTTTAGATGGGCGCTCAGACCAGTGTTTTTGCTAACAAAACCTTGTTGCCTTAGCTGCCAAGGGACCATATTTTATTTAGAACATCAAGGCTGATAACAAAGTAAAAGTTCCTATTTGTATAGTTCTTCACGTACCTTATCTTTTCTCTCCTGCCTGGTGGGACAGTATTGGTCACTGTCCCTGCTCTGCGGGTGAAGGGTCAGGCACAGAGAGTTAAGGAGCTTGCTGGGGCACAAGGCCCGGTGAGGGACAGGCCAAGATCTCAACATCCCATTCTTGGCCTGGAGGCTTTTCAGAGGGTCCCCAGGTCTTATTATTGGGAGTGACCGTGCCGTGCTTGAATGAGGCCAGCTGTGCTCACAGGCAAGTCTGCCCTGTGCAGCTCCCACCTCCCTGGTTTCCAGTAGAATAGCCTGGGCCTGGCTGGTGGAGGCGGGGAGAAGTGGGGCCCCATGGGGACAAGGGATAAGACCACACCTCACCAGAGGAAGTGACTTGGCTAAGGTCACATGGAGAGTAAGGGACGGAGTCACGACTGGAACCCAGATCTCAGTCCAGCATCCCTTCTCTGAGCCTCATTCATCATCCTGCTCGAGGTCTGCCCTCCAGCTCAGAGTTAAGGGACGAATCGTCCTGCTGGCTCAGTGTTTATCCCAAATGCACGTGGGAAATCCTACTCCCCTAAATCTCTACTTCCAGTTTGAGATGGGCTATGCGTGAAATAGCAACTCCCATAGGTGCAGTGGGGAAAGCGGGCGCTTTGGGGTGAGACAGTCTTAGGCTTCTGCCACTGGTGGCTGTGAACCCCCAGCAGTTATATGACATGGAAATGACAATTACATGGTGAATGTATATAGTGTTTAGCAATCACAGTTTCCTTAACTCTCACATGGGTGCAGAGATGTTGTGAGGGTTTGAGGATGTCCCACATCAGGCGTGTGGCCCATCAGCACTGCCTCCTATTATTTTCTTGCCATGTCTTGGTCTTGGGTTAGGCAAGCCCGGAGAAAGGCAGCAGGCACCGTGTGCAGCCTCCTGCAGAAGGTGTACCCCGCTCACGCCATTAATATACACTTCCCACCCGGCTACGGGGGCCCCAGAGAAACTGTGAATTGGAGTTTTTTAAAGATGTCACAGCCTTTTAAAATCATAGAGTCAGTGGACCTGGTGTCTGACTCTACATGAATTTAATGTCTTGAAACGCTTGTCAGGGCCTGACGTGATTTGCATTTGGGTTCCTATTTCTAGGATTCTGAGATCAGTGTCAATGAACTCAAGACGGCTCTGAATGAGGTGTTTTCCAAACGTAAGTTCTTCCTTGGGGCTTTTCAGGAAGTCTGGGAGCCTAAGACAGATGCTGGGGTGGGGGTGGCGTAAGGATGGGTGCAGGCACTGGGCCAGGGGCACTGCAGATGGGGACAAGGGGCCTTTGGCCTCTGGCCCGGGGCCCTGATTCCCTCTGGGCTGATAGAGCGTCCAGCAGGTGGGAGAGGCTGGAGCGGGAGGGGTGCTGGGCCGGATGAAGGCGGGGCTGGTGCTGGGGCCAACCGGCCCTGCAGGAAGGAGTCCTGAGTCTTGGGAGGAAAGAAGTTGGGCTGAGAGTAAGTGAAATTTTCCCGCCAAATTAATAACTTTGATACAGTGGGAAACTGCGCAGCTTGAAGATCTTGTTCTGTAGTGCATCCCTGGGGAAAGCGTGTGGAGGGGAGGATTCTGACTGTCCTAGGTCGTGACAGTTCTCCATCTTTAGACTTTAGCAAGCCCCAGCGGCTGTCAGAGGATCAAGCTGCACCCAGGTTGAGGAAAGCCTTGCTCCTTCCCTCTGAACCGCAGCCCCATGTAAGCTGGCACGGAACTGGCTTCTTGTTGGGCCCAGGGTCAGGCTTCTGCCTGGTTGAGTGATGGGCATGTCCACCCATGGCAACAGGACAGGGGGTAAGCATGCAGGATGCAGGGGCAAGGCTGGGTGTGAGCCCCCCCGGGGCCGAGCAGCTCCCCAGGGCTCAGAGCCCAGGCGCAGGCTCAGAGACACCCCACCCTGCTCCAGCTCTCCCTCCTGCCTTGCAGAGAAAGAGCCCAGGGAAGAAGAGAGGATTTGCAGGGCCTTTGGTTCCTTCCTGCCTTGGCTCTCAGGTGTGGGCAAGGTGAGTATGGAGCCAGGGATGGCTGTAGCTCCCAGGAGATACCTGCAATTTAGCAGTAAGGATAACAGCTGCCGTTTGAGAGGCTGTGTGTCGTGGTTGAAAGCTTGGGCTATGGAGACGGGTGGCCTGCGTTTAAATCCCAGCTCTGCCTGGGTTGTGTGATCTTGAGCAAATTATTTAACCTCTCTGGGCCTCAGTTTCCTTATCTATAAAATAGGGATGAAAGTATCTACCACATGGGGTTATTTGGAGGATTAGGAGTACAGGGTTTGGAACAATACCTAGCCAATAAAAGTTAGCTGTTTATTAAGAACTTGCCATATACCAAGCACTGCGCTAAGAAGTTCACTTACATTTTCTCATTTTAGCCCCAATTAGCTTTGGGGGCAAGTACTGTTCTTATTGATGGAGAAGGAAACCAAAGCTCAGAGATGTTAGTTTGCTGAAGTCCCGGTGGCTTGTGAGTAGCAAAGCTGAGGTTCAGACACTGAACCCCGATGCCAGTGCCCACCTGTACCACCCCCAGGGGGCCCTGCCCAGGAGCCTGACGCCATGCTCTCTCCTTTTTGTGGCGCTCACATCTGGCTCTGTACTCTGGCTGGCGTCCTTGGTGGCTTCCTACCAGGGAGGTTATTTCCCCTGCCTTCAAATGATCCTGATTCCCTCCCCTCTTTTCTATTTAAATATTTAGGAACAGACATCAAATTCGATGGATTCAACATCAACACTTGCAGGGAGATGATCAGCCTGATGGACGTATCCTTTAAATGTCACATTATTTTTACTCTGATCCTGATTTTCAGGACTGCTCCACCTCTCCCAGTGAGATGGAGGCAAGGGAAAGA